AAATAAATAAATAAAATCTTAAAAAAAAAAAAAAAGAATATTCCATATTTGATAAAGACATTAACCCATAGATTCAGAAATCTTAGAAAGCCACGCACAGAATAAAAGCAAAACAAAACCTAGCACATCATAGACAGACTGTTGAAAATCAAAGTATTAGAAAGATAAAGACATTAAATAACAGATGTTTTGATTCATCAGGAAGACATAAAAATCCAAAATTGTACTCATCCAACATCATAGTTTCAAAATAAATGAAGAAAAATTGACATAAAAGAAGAACAAAAAAGAAGTGGTTGTAGAGGACAGGAAGGAGGGATGAATAGGCAAAGCAGAGGATTTTTAGGGCAGTGAAAATACTCTGATACTGTAATGATGGATACATGTCATTATACATTTGTCCAGACCCAGAGAATGTACAATAGCAAGAGTTAACCCTAATGTAAATTATAGAATTAGGGTAATTATGATGTGTCAAAGTAGATTCACCAATGGTAACAAATGTACCACTCTGGTGAGGGATGCTGATAATAGGGGAAGGTTATACATTTTGTTGGCGCAGGAGGTACGTGGGAAACCTCCGTACCTCCCCTTTAATTTTTCTGTGAACTTAAAACTTCTCCCAAAAAATAATAAAGTCTTAAAAGAAAAATGTTAAAAAAATGCAAGGTGGTGGTCACTCCATATAACTTACTTCTGGGGTTAATTTTTTCTTCTTATTTGTATGTTTTCTCCGATAAAATTGAAAAAAAAATCAACAAACTAAGAAACATTTGTGATTAATGTAAGCTAATGCTATCAAAATATCTGTCATTGAATAATGAATCTAAAAGAGTAAATATTTGGAACCCTTTTGATAAGTGGCCAAGGAATTGGCTTAGAGACTTAGGATTCACATTCAAGAATGACACAGATGGAATCAAACAAAAAGGGGCCAGCACTTTCTGAGCTAATTGTTTACACTAGATTTTTGCTCCTGCTGCTCTAAACTGGAAGAAGAATAATGTGAGAATTTGTAATTTGTAATTTAAAACTTCAGGAACCATGAAACTTTCTGGAGACTTGGGTCAGTCAGTTGATTTACCAGAAATGATGAGACCACCATAATCCATATAAACTGTCTATTTTCTTACCATCACAGCAATGAAAGAGAGGAGAAAAACATGCAAATTGGTCATTTCTGTTTTTTTATTTTGCTTTCCTAAATTACTTCTAAGCTCCCTGAGTCAGATTTCTATCATAATGAAGTCTTGGCTTAAAAAAAGTTGTTTAGTTAGAACTTCCTAATTGGCAATAAAACAGATAAGCAAACTGCCAGCTCTCAAATTTGTTAAATGTTTTTTATTTGGACTATGAGAACAGCATTGTGGAGACTTGCAGAATTTGATATTGGGAACGTAAAATGTTAGTATGGAGATTTGTAAAATAATTCCCAACAAAACCAAGCATCATGCATAACTCTTAAAACTGCAAGACACAGACAATATACTAAACATATTTGGATAATATAATAAATCGTAAAATATTCTAACAGCAATTGGATTATACAGGTTCTGCTCTCTTTTAATGGGAGAGACTATGTAATTTGTTGCAAAATCAGCCATTTGTGAAGCATCAGCAATTAAATTAAGAGCTTTCAAGTTTGTAAAGTAAGGAGAATCTAAGTGGAATTGTTTTTTAAAACAGTAGGAATTGACTAGCACATTGTACATGTAGCCTTAAAACATTGTCAATTCTGAATTTTTTTTCTCATAGTAGTCTCAAAAATATTCATGAGGAATTAGCATTCCAGACCATGTTCTCACAGCTAATATTTGAAATAACTGATTTTTCTTCATTTGTAATAAATTATTGTACACTAAAAAAAAATAAGGACTTAGGTTCTGAAAAGAAATCATTCTGACGAGAAGTCTTATTGTTTCAATAGGGGCTGTAGTAAAATTAAAGGAAGAGCTGCTTCAGATTTCTTGTTCCAAGTTTGCCCTCCCAAGATTTACCAAAATTGTTTCAAATGCTGTAGGTAAAAATTACACTTTGATCTTTTCTTGTTAAATCTTTTGAGATTAAAGATGCTATAAATTTTTTATAATTCTTCTTAATTAGAATGCTTTTCCTCAATCCAAGAGGAGTCACACCATGCTGATTTCTGAAACCCTGCTTCTGAGGAGCAGAGTCACCTTAATCCTGCTTCTGAGGAGCAGAGTCACCTTAACGTGTTGATCGCTTGGCCTTTGCTACAGATAATTAAGACAAAATTCAAGGTTCAAAGTCACTTGTGACTTTTTTATTCTCTTCCTCTCCCTTCCTCTTCCTCTCCTTCACTTCCTCCCTTCCTGCTTTGTTTTAAACAGAGAACAGACCCCATAGCTGACATCAGAACTGACTTAGGAGGAGATACTTCAGTGTTTCTAATTACATATTAAAAATAAAGGAAGATTAGATTTTTTAAAAAGAAATTAAGTGTTAAGATGCATGTTAACTGCCTTAGAAGACTGGCAGAGTTGGCTTGTATTTATCCCTGTTAAAAAAAAAAAAGCGGTCATGAATTAGTCTTCTTTCTCTAATAGATAAACTAGTCTCCTCGACTCCTGGTATTTCTTAAATACATTTCTTCTACAAGTGCTCTCATAAGTTGCTGACACAAGAGACCTTTCACGAGAGGTGATATATTTGGTCTTGTATTGACCAAGGTACAGAATTCTAGGTGGATCATCTTATCCTCTTTGTGAAAGGTCTTTGGTTCAAAACCTATGAGCTGTTCAGGAAATCATTTCATTGTAAAGGTAAATCCAAATACAGTCAAGGATAATAGTATTTCAAGTTTACACCTAATAAGGGTCTGTAATTTTAGTTTTTTTAAGAAAATCTAGGTTTTATTTTTTGGAAAATTGTAGATATTCAACATTTATTTTAAGAGTAAGTGGTTATTTTCTTCTCCTTCTTTTCTCTCATATAGAAGTTCACTGTGATTCTCAGAGTTTGTAGATAAGTGGTAATTCTTGAATATGTTTTTAGTTTTCCACTTGTACTGAATTTTTAACCTATTTTCTGAATTGTTATACTATCTAATGGTATACTAGTATTCCTTGAATTTATCTGTTCATCTTTTAATCAAGTGACCTCTTATATGATGAGAATATAAAACTTTCTTGTCATTTACTTGGCCTTTAGAATTATCATAAAGATTAAACAACAGATCTTATTTACATATACAACAGATATATGTAAAACCTAATATGACAAATGACAACAAACAGATCCATAATTTTATCCTAAAGGAAATTGATGGCTTTTTAAATATGTCATTTTATGCCATATACTTATGTAGAAAACACAGAAAATGACTCCTAGTTGTTTATAATTCAAAACTAATAATTGAAAATCATCTAAAGCACGCCTGATCTTGAAAAAGTCATGAATGTTGAGCACAGTAAATTACTTTATCTTGGATATAAAAATCTTCTGAAATATTTGGATTTAATAGTTTTAAGTTCATGTTTCTCTTAATCTGAAGTGGTTGACATTAAAGCATAATTTTATAATAAAAACAAAATAATTTTAAAAGACACAAATGTTTATTCTCAGAGATTTACTGCTTAATAATTTGAAAAAATATATATCTATATTTTGGTAAAATGTAATCATACATTAGATATCCTGCTAATGCTAAATTTCTTAATGGATTTTGATGTGGCTATCTTATAAAATAAATTATATATACGTCTTTTTTTTAAAACAGTAATTATTTTAAACTAACTTGGATAGAAGCCAAAATGAATTTAAAAATCCTACAAATAACACTAAGATATTAAATAAGGCAAAACCTAATTCTTTTAAAAGACCCATAGCCAAAATAAACTATTTATTTATTTGATTAATAAAATACGAAAGAAATGAGAAACCGTCCTGTGTTTTTCATTCAACATCGTACTTTTGACTGCCTTCCATGTTTCTGGAATTTCTAGATAGTTAAGTTTTAATTTTTTATGTGGAATTTCTGGATAGCTAACTTTTAAATTTTTTATGTGCCAAATTTATTTCTAAATGTATGTTTATAAATTTAAACCAACTAAAAGAATGAACTTTATAAAAAATTTCAGTCATCTCCAAATTCTCTTCCAAATTTATTTATGAACGTATGTGACAGAGCTTTAATCAGACTGCACAAACTGTTTTGTGTTCTGCTTTTAAAATTATCCTTCATTTGTACACTTTCACGTGCTGACAAAGCCACACAGTTGCCACTTTTCATGGTGTGCTTCCCCGATTTCCATACCAGTCACAGGGAGAACAGCTGAGGAGAGAGGGCATGAAGCTGTCAGGCTATGAGCCCTGACCAGGAGAACTTCTGGGATCCTGAGCCCTCCCAAAGGTGGATCATACATTCTCCTGGAGTCATCAATTCTTTCCACGGCAGCTGCTGGTGCCAGTTTCCATGCTGCTGCCATCAGAGGGCAGTTTTGATCCTCTATACCAGCACAGATCCATTTGTGGTGGCTGCCTAGGACCCTGCATTAGAAAGGACCGAGAGGTCAAGTTCAGACTCAGCAGGAGGCCTCGGATTTATTACCAGCATCTGTAACAGTTACGACTCCCAGCACAGCCTTCACTGTTGCTCCCACTTGTCATGAGATTTTAAATGACCCCAGGGCGGTGCTAGGGTTCCGATGAACATAACCTGTTCACTCCAGGAGTTTCTGGGTCAGAAAGCTGTCTCCTTTGAGCACCACTGCACACACCTGGATATGATATATTAGCAAGCATGTGAGTTTACAGGTACTGTAATTGGGTTTCTGTTATGAACCCTGACCCAGGCATTAATTTATTTAAAATTTTTTAATATTTTCAAAAAGTTGGACATCTTTACATTCTTTATTTCTGTTATTTTTAATTTTATTGCATTATGGCCCAGAAATGTAAAGTGTAAAATTTTTGTCCTTTCATATTTACTAAGTATAGCTTTTTGTTTTCAGATTATCATCGAAGGTATTTCTATTTCTTTGCAAGTCTGTTGACTCATTTTTTTTAAATTTGTTACTACATTCTTTTGAGTATATTCATACAGATCAGTTACGTTTTCATTGTTTCTTGTGCTTAAAAAATTTCTGGCCCTTCATTCTCTCTTAGACTTTTCCTTTCATGCTCTAGATTCTATGATCTAATATCTGTTTGTGAGTTAAGATTGCTTTCAGTTCTGGATACCAGAAAATCTGACACACAACAGTATGAACAAGCAAGGCAGGACAGGGGGCTGAAGAGGTAGGCAGGGGCCAGGTTGTCTAAGCTCTGATTCTATTGCAATGAGAAGCAGTGGCAGAGTTTAAATGGGGGAGGTGGGTGGCACATACCACGTTCTTCACATTTTCAAGACATCACTCTGGATGCTGAGTGGAAAATGGACTGTAGGAGGGCAAGACAGGAAGCAGGGAGATGGTTAGGAGGCTGTCTTTGGCAGTATACCAGCGTGGGAGATCAAGATTTGGCCACCCTGAAATCTATCTCTTTACCTTGGTTGTTTTCTCTGAGGACATTTGACCTCCCCCACTAACTGCCTAAAGAATTTGACATGGTGGCTCCTTCCTGGAACAGATCTATCATGATGGCTATAAAGATAACGTA